CTCCTCGCGGTCCGCGCCCCCGGGGGCGCGGGAGCCCCAAGGGGTTTCAGCTGCCCGAGAAGTGTTTCCGGCAAGTTCAGACCTCCGAGGACCTTGACAGTATTAGAAGGCTGGAAACAGGCCACGGGTGGCACAGGCTGGGCACCGCCGTTCTTTTGCTTTCTTCTCGCATGTTGCTTTCAGACCCGGAATGAGTATTACGCCCCTCTTTCCTATTGTCCACTCAGACACAATAGGCGAGTTGGGGCAGCCAGTTGCAACCACCCACGCTCACTGCCAAAGTCTGGGCAAGCCGGGGCGGAGGGGTGCGGATACCTGACGTCCCCGCCCCCCAGGCAGGGGTTAGGAGGGCCGTGGATGTCTTGGCCAAGACCGCCCAGCCCGTCAGTGACCCTCGGAGCGGCCCCCAGGCAGCAGCACAACCTTAGGGGCTTGCTAGAAAGATCCCTCTTGGGCCCTGCCCCAGGCTCGCGGAGTCGGGAGCCCGGGTGGGCCCCGGCAGTCCCTTCTCACGAGCCCTCCCGCGATCCTGACGCAGCCCAAGTGCTGCGTGGCGAATCCTTTGACACGTTATGGCCTCACCACGTGGGGGCCAGGACGCTAGTGCGTCCTCGTCCCTAGGTGTGCCGCCTCCTCGCCGCTGGGTGACATGAACAGGTGAAGTTTCTCCATGGTTTCTTCTTTTTGTTAGTGGTATGCTTGCTAATATGGCCAATATGTAAATGTTACTCTACATATTTATATACCATGTTACTTAGTGACATTATTCGAACGTTTGTATGTGTATTTGTGAAGCTGTTGACATCCGTCATTTAAGGAATATTCCAGCCTAAGTTTCCGAAGCAGTATGTTGAATAAATTTTTTAATGGTCACAGCAGCCTGAGTCTACGGGGAAGAGCTAAGCAGGTGACCACTTGAGTTCTTTGAGCAAAGACCCGATGCAGTTTGTTCCCATTTTCCATGGTGACTGACTCAAAATTTAGTTGCATCACGGGGATGTGTGTAAAGGCCGCTTGCTTCATGTCACAGGTGGGGAGAACTCCCAGACTGGTGTGAGGCTGAACTGGGACACCCCCTCCGCCCCTCCCACTCCCCTTTCGCCTATGGTTTTTCTTTCTGAAGTCAAATGCACAGCTGTGCTCCACTATGGAAACTCTGCAGCCTTGGGAATCCTTACCAGTATCAATGTCTAGTCGCTTTTTAAAGTCCCAAAAGTGGAGTGAGGATGGGGGGGCTGGGCCGTTGAAGCCTTGTTTGGTTCTTTCTTTACCCAGACTGTGTATAAAGAATAAAGTTAGCAGAATGACACCACAGTCATTGTGTTTTTATTAATACCACATCAATTTGCAGTTTTACAAAGGAACCAAGATTCAAGTTCCATAGGTGCTACTGTATTTTTATGTTGCACGCAGACACGCACACAGTTTCATTAGTAATTTTTCATCTAGAGGTTTAAAAAAAATTCCCGCGTGGCACAAAGATCTCCCCAATTATCTAAACACAGCAGCAACAAAAGAAAAAGCTGGATGTGGCGCTTCCAGGGCCAGAGGGCCCTTGGAGGGAAAGCCCACAAAGACAATCAGTGCATTGGCGTCCTGCGGGGGTGAAGGATGACCACAGAGAACGTGTTTCCTACTAGGACAGAAATCAGCTGAACAATTCAAAAGGAAAGGGAACTCAGAAAACCAGAAAGTGGAGTAAGGCAGGGTACCTTTTACTCATCCAAGTTTCTAAGTGATTTCCCCCCCCAAAAGGTGGAAAGAACATTTCCTTCCACCACCCTCTCCAGCAGCTGCAAGACATCGGGACCATCAGTACTGTAGCCCCAACCTAAGGTCACCAGAGCACATTCTCTCTGGGTGATCACAAGTTACAATCTAAAGGAACTCTCTCACACATGACTTTTCTTTCAAGTATGCTGAATTTTCATGTTGAAGGGAAGGAAGAACAGCCTCAGACGGGAATCAGAGATTCCCAATGACCCTCCATTTGACATCAGTTGTTCGGCTGTCTGTTAATTGTACTTAGAGCCCAACCTGGTCACCCTCACCTAAAACGTCTTGGCAAACACTCTTCAGAGAAGCATCCTGGGCAGTGGCAGAGATGCTACTGGAACATCTATGTGCCTGACAGCGAACCCTTGAAACAACACACCCGTCAGCTAGCCTCAGCAGTTAAAACTCCACTTGGACCACAAGATGCACGTCTCTACACTAACTTGTGGTCTTTTCGCCACAGACACAAGGCATCTCCTGTTGAGCCAGCTCGGCTTTGGTCCTTAGGCTACAATGATGAACACAGGTGGAAGATGCAGAATGTGAGGGAGGAAGCTGTAGGGAAAAGAGCAAGAAAAAAAGCCTTTTTGCATTTCTGTGTTTCACCTCTTGAGAATGTCCCTCCCCCCCCGCAGACTGAGATAGGGTTACAATTACTCATAACTGAGGAGCCCACATGCAGATTATGTTTTTCTCTAACAAGTTTACAGCAGTGTACAGTAGTTACAGACATTTATTTCATAATAAGAAAAGTACAACCATATTTATTAGACTTGAGGTGAAGTGGGCAAGGGAGAGGGAGGAAAGCACACTCGGGAACGAGTTCTTAAACCAGCGCTCAGAAGTGACATCCAAGAAGAATGACGCAGATGCCACCTTCCCAAATGGAGGAGCCTTTCCCTCTCTAGAGACAGAGCCAATAGGTGGTGGCTGCGCGGCACTCCTGCTGACTCCCTCTCCACCCCACGTTCCGCTTCCTTTCTATTCTTTTTTATCAGATGGCATTCTGGGAATCAGGAGTTATCACTACCACCTAGAAGTTATTCACAGAGTTGAGAATTATAGTATTAAGAGAAGAAAAAAATATTAGGAATAGCTGCTCACATTGTAGGGTGGAAGACAGGACTTGAGGGCTTCAAAGAGAGCCCAAGAAGGAATCACACTCCTGTCCCCGAATAATTTCTTCATAAGTTAATCATTATTTAACTTAAAAATAAGGGCAAAACTACAATGGGAAGCTGAGTAAGCCTAGTCCTGAAATCTGGAGAGAAGGACCCAAGAGAGGCATCTAGCTTTCATTTTCTCTTTTACTTCCAATCTTTCCCCTTTCAAGTCTGGGGGAAAAGCTCTACCACCATATTAAGGTACTGATTTATCCTATGAACTTCTTTATTCGTTTGCATTCTAAGATAGCTCTTTTTTAGTCCAACAATTCTTGTGCTTGATACTGAGGATAAAGGGAAAGGATGGGAGAAAACACCAAATAAAAAAAAAAAAAGCTTGGAATGCAGGCTCAAGCTGACACTGAGCGTGTTCCTTCATAGTACAAGTAACAATGTTATAACTATTAAATGGTGTTTTAGTAACTGTTGCATCTCTGGTTTCCATGTGCTCATTCTGCCTTTTTTTTGGCGATTCCAGGGAGTTTTGCTTGGATCCTATTGAAAAAAAAAAAAGAGTAAAGGTGAAAACAAGCATTTGCTCAGGTTTTTATTTACACAGAGATGCTAGAAGACAGTCCTGGACTTGCAGCAGCAACGTGGAAAGCATTCTCCCATTTTCACAGGGGTGGATGAAGGGCGGGGCGGAGACTGGCCTGGGCAGAGCCTGACAGTCCACAAAGGTCTAGCTCTGCCCCTGCTGCTGTGCCTGGTGGTGTCTCTTTCACTGCCAGCACTTCTTGGGTTCTTCCCGAGAGGTTTTTGAGAATGAGCAGCACGTGGCGTAACACCTGCTGACTACGTACTGCACACTGGCCACGTGAGAGCCCATCACCCTGGCTCTGTAAGGCACAGATAAGGAATGCCAGGCCACCCCACTAGTGCCACAAAAGGAAGCAGAGTCAAGTGTTAAGGAAAAATGTAAAAGAGACACAGACCATTGGCTCCTGCTTCTCACAACTACAGAAGCTGACAATGGCTTCCAGTCCTTCACAGGACATCAAAGTTGCCCATCACTGTGGTCATGTAATCCCTCAGCGAATGTTAAGGCTCCTCCACAAATATCACACCCCAAGCCAGGTGGCCCATGTCAGCTAACGCCAGCAATCAAGATATCAGGTCTATAGCTGAGCTATGAACACTTTTCACAAATCAGGGGTAAATAGCAACGAGGTATGCAGCTGAGCTAACTGTTCACCTGATTTTTAGCACTAATGTATACCTAGAAAGGTAAAAAAGCAGCTAGAGATCCTGGAATCAAGCCAGACCTGTCTGGATATATTGTTTCCTTTTGATAAAGCTGGAAAAAGCCTTGGGCACAAAGGGAATTTAACTATTTGTGATACTTTGTTTCTTAAAGAATACCTGTTAAAGCATAACAAAAAAAAAGACTATCTAAAGAAAATATGAAAAAGGGTTAAAACTGTAATTCAAAGTGTTGGGTTCATGATATTTGTTATGAATAATTCAAAATAAAAAATGAAAACGTAACTGTCCTCCAGGACTGGGGGAAAAAGTTTAAAAAGAGAAGAAAACAGCTCCTTGATATAAGGAGTCTTAAAGATGCTTATCAGTATTTTATTACTTGATTTAAATATTAACTGGTTAAAAAAAGTAAAACAGATTTGATAATTTTATCAAAAATAACTTTAAGGCTTAAGTTATTTAAAATTACCAGAACTTTTATTTCTTAAACGAGAGGGAAGAGTTCGGTTAAAAATGAATATACATAAAAATAAATGAAGGTGGTGAGGCAACCAAGAACATCTCAAAGTGAGTTCAGGTTGGGTGTGGTGGTTCATGCCTATAATCCCAGCATTTTGGGAGGCTGAAGTTGGAGGACTGCTTGAGTCCCAGAGTTCCAGACCAGTCTAGGCAACATAGATCTCGACATAAAATAAAAAAATTAGCCAAGCGTAGTGGCATGTGCCTATAATCATAGCTACTTGGAGGCTGAGATGGAAGGACTGCCTGAGCCCAGGAGGTCGAGGCTGCAGTAAGCCATGATCTGTGCCACTGCACTCCAGCCCAGGCGATATAGTGAGACCCTAACTACTCAAAAAAAAAGTCAGTTAAAAAAGGCACAGTAGTAGTCCTGATTACTGACTCAATTGATCACTTTAAATCTAAAATACAAGGAATTTTTTATTTCTAGTAAAATAAAATTCCTATCAGGGTATAAATTACTTTCCTTGACATCAGCACTTTATACAGGTGACTCAAGATAACTCAGGGGAAAGCATATGTCATGATGATATGATCCCTAAATGTACTTACTTTTCAACAACTGCCTTGGTCTGATCCCGAGCGATGCCAACATAGTGATCAATCTGGGTCTTTAAGAAAGGCAAGTAGATTTTAGTTGTGACAACACGTACATTAACAATTTTCTTGAAGGCATTGTTCTTTTGTCTAGTTTACCAATTTTTTTTTTTTTTTGAGTGGAGTCTCACTCTGTCGCCCCGACTGGAGTGCAGTGGCCGCTCCTGGCCACTGCAGCCTTGACCTGCTGGGCTCCGGCGATCCTTCTGCCTCAGTCTTCCAGGTAGCTGGAACTATAGGCGTGCGCTACCACGCCCGGCTATTTTTGATTTATTGTGGAGATGAGGTCTTGCCAAGTTGCCCAGGCGGGTCTCGAACCCGTGGGATCAGGCAATCCATTCACCTCAGCCTCCCAAAGTGCAGGATTACAGTCTGAGCCACTGAGCCTGGCTAGCAATTTTTTAAAATTGGCTACCAATTCTTCTTAAACAATATTGACTAGTCTGGGAAATAATGCCCAGTTTGGAAAATGTTCTAAAAACTTCTCGTTTTAAAAATAAACAAGCCGGGCTTGGTGGCTCAGCCTGTAATCCCGCACCTTTGGGAGGCTGAGGTGAGTGGATTGCCTGAGCCCGCGGGTTCGAGACCCGCCTGGGCAGCGAGACCTCATCTCTACAATAAATCAAAAATCAACCGGGCGTGGTAGCGCACGCCTGTGATTCTGGCTACTCGGAAGGCTGAGGTGGAAGGATCGCCAGAGCCCAGTGGGTCAAGGCTGCGGTGGCCGGGAGCGGCCACTGCACTCCAGTCTGGGTGACGGAATGAAACTCCAACTCAAAAAACAAACAAGCAAACAAACAAAACCCTTCCTAGTTTTAGACTTCAAATTATTCCATTAACATTCCACACTTGGTAAAGTAAAAATCACTCATCTTTTAAAGAGCTAAGTCTTCCTGGGTAGGTATTTCCTTTAGAGACCCTGGAGCACATGGCATTTCCTGAATACTCAAACTGTATGTCTAATATATATTCTGCAGTCATAAGCATGCTAAGGCTGTGGGGCAAGACCAATCCATTTAATGCTAGAAGGCAAAGAAGTCTATGGGTGGATGAGTTAATCCACAAGGAGTAACTTCGTAGCATCTATATACTCAGTATACATCATTCCATGAGGTGAACATCTGTTCACACTGATGGGTTCCCTTAATAATCTACAGTTTAGCTGGGCTCGGTGGCTCAGCTTGTAATCCCGCGCCTTTGGGAGGCTGAGGTGAGTGGACTGCCTGAGCCCGTGGGTTCTTGACCCGCCTGGGCAACTTGAGAGACCTCATCTCTACAATAAATCAAAAATTAGCTGGGTGTGGCAGCACGCGCCTGTAGTTCTGGCTACTTGGAAGGCTGGGGCGGAAGAATCACCGGAGCCCAGCAGGTCGAGGTTGTGGTGGCCGGGAACAGCCACTGCACTCCAGTCTGGGAGACAGAGTGAGACTCCAACTCGAAAAAAAAAAAAAGGAAATAAAACTGGTCATGCTGGCACATATGATTCGGAACAGACAAATGCTTACCTTGTACTTCTCATAGACAATCGGGACACTGAAAATGAGCAGTTCGGCTGTAAGACAGAAGCAAGTGTAAATGTGAGACAGTCACAGTCTCAAGACTCTGAGTAACACAGATATTTTTCCTCATGAAAGATACGGAAACATAGATCCTCCTCAAAATGAGAAATCCCAGCTGCAGCTGCCCATTAAGGCCAGTTAGATAAAGAGAGGTAAGTTGGAGTAGTACTTACTAAAAAAACCCGAAAGACAAAACAAAAAACCTCTCCAGGTACACAGGTTATTTGTACCACAAATAACAATTTCCAAATTACAAAAATGGTTTCTGTAAATAAGATCCCCATATTTAAACCTAATCTAGACACATCTCCTTTACCTCCAGCTGTTTTGATATTTCTTTATAATTGGGACCAATAAACCTATGACCACAACCAGGTTCCTACAGTACCTACTTCCAGGTCTCTGGATGCTAAAGGCTGGGCCACACAGGGCAACCCTTTCAGGACCCCTCCCTCTGGCTGAGAGTTTTTCTATCCTCTAACAAATTCCTACTTGGAAAAAAAAAGGCTGCGTCATGTAGAATGAGTGCAGCCAAACTAGGCATTCTCCTCTCTCTTATTCTTACAAATTACTTCAAAGAGCATGGAGACATTTCCTTGCCATCTTACCAAGAATCAGAAGGGTGATTCCATTAAAAACGGCACCAACATAGGTCATCAGCCACATGAAGACAGCCAGCTGTGGAAGCAAAATTCAGATTAACTGATGCCACTGTCTTCCAGCTAATTAAGTCTGCATAAACTTAGTGATGTCTGACACGAGCAATTTAAAAAAAAAGGTTCCCCCAAGTATGCTGTACACATTTGAGGGTGCACAAAAGAATTCTGTAGTTCTCTTAGACCAAAGACAGAGGGTACCTGCAACGCCACCAGTTCTTATGTCTGTTTCCCAGCAAGAGGCAGCACCTTTCTCTAATGACGCCTATCCCCACCTCTACAGATTGAGATGAACAAATGCTCATTTGTGCCTGATAAAACGCTATGTACTGTTTCTCCACTGAATTATAACCCCGTCCCTGGTTTTTCTTAGTCTCACCACCAAAAGCTGCAAAATCAACTAACCTTCAAGGAGTCAACCAGATCTTCCACCAGAAAGAGACGAATGATGAGCTTCAGGGCCCTGTTGACATGCAGCATGGCAGCATTCATGTAGTTGTGGAAGGCTTCTGAGGACAGAGTGATGTCTACATCCAGGTAAGCCCTTCCAGAAGAAGAAGAAACAGTCACACATCTGACATGGAAGGACACTTTCTGCTGGCACAGCAGTTCTTCAGAGTTTGAAATGGGCCTCCAGGGCACTTTAAACATCTGTAGGAGCATTCTTTGCTGTCATGGCTGGGGTGAGGACACACTGTCATGGGGTGGGCAGAGGCAAAGATGCCAGATGCCTACAAAGCGTGGGACAGTCATGCACCATAAAGAACTGTCCTATGGGCCGGGCTTGGTGGCTCAGCCTGTAATCCCAGCGCTTTGGGAGGCCGAGGTGAGTGAGTTGCCTGAGCCTGCGGGTTCGAGACCCGCCTGGGCAACTTGGGTGAGACCTCATCTCTACATAAATAAAAAATTAGCCGGGCATGTAGCGCACGCCTGTAGTTC